TTGTTGGTAGAAACAAAGGAATAAAAATTGCTTAAACTCAGTCATTCAGAACTATGATTTTACTAGTATTTATAGTATGCTCACAGTTAAAAAGTATACAAAAAATAAACTTTTATACTAGAGTGAGTATAAAGGCAATCTTGTAATTGTGCTACTTATTTGCATCACGTTAGGAAAACTCTTGAAACTTGTATTCATCCATTCTTGAAATCTCTTTTTTTTTTTCTGTTACAAGGGATAGAAGAGAGTGTAAAAAAGAAATCTATAGCAGATTACAAAAGTGTTCTCTCAGATAATGAGCTACTGGAGTTTAATTCAAATAAACATATTGAGTATCACTGGTATTCACGTTCTAGAGAGTTACACATCTGTACTCACACATTTATGCTTTATGGTAGATCCTGGCTTTCACTAACAGAAATGAGAGGGCTGGTAGCATGCGCATGAAGATTTTGACATTCAGAGGATTCTAGATAAAATACTACACTTATTTCACAAATGGCAAATGCTTGAGGTAACCTGGAACATTTGAGGGGGAAAAAATCAGATGCCAACCTCCAAGTTACAGCAGTCAAACAGCTGATCCAATGAAACTTAGTGCTGGAGATGCGCCAGCAAGACCCAGCACAGCGCTTCCTGACTCTAGGGCTTTTGTGTCAGTCTGAAGCCATGGAAAAGTGTGATCCCGTATCAATTATATAAAAGGAAGTTAAAGGCTTAATCTGCAGACACTTGCAGATTCTTGGGTATCATTATCTTGTAAATCTCTTAAAATAAATGATGAAAGTAATAGTAGGGCATTTAGAAAACCTGTCCTCGCGAGGTACAGGAAAAAAATATATACTTGACTAGTACAAAAGATATAAAATGCTATTATCACTTATATAGGTTTGCACCTTTTTCTTTTTTTTTTTCTTTTTTTTTTCCCCAGAAAGATCTACAAGAATTAATAATGAAAAGCAACATAAAGGCTTCAGGAAGAGTTAAGATAAACTTTTCTATGTTCAAATATTCTGAACGATAATCTCACTTTAATATAATCTCTTGCATTCACAAGTTTAAATAGTGTAAACATATTATAATAAAACATTACATACATTACCCAAATACTAATGAATTATATTCGGTTTCAGATGTCAGAGTGTCCAATACTTAAATTCCTCAAAGCAATGCTATAAGTGGTCAGGCCAAAATCATAATTTTCTATAGATGGAATATCTCTCATGAATTGAAAGCAGGTTGGAATCATGGTTCTGACAAATGCAGGAGACTCAGTTGATGGAATCTCAGTGATTTGAAGTTTTTTCTTTTTTGAAAGATTGAAATTCAAGCAATCTCTCAGCATGGTCAAAATATTTCCAGTATAAGTTTTGTTGTAGGACAGGAGAAAAGAATTGTAGGAAACTGATTTCTACTAAAACCTAATACATTTTTACTGGAGTCAATCCATCTACTACTGTCAGCCAGTCATGACTTATTGAAACTCTCATTGCTCTGGCAATGTTTTCCACCATTCAAGCTGGCTTGCATTAAAAACAGACTCACATAGTGGACAGAATTATCAGACATACTTTCTTATAGTGTAGATAAAACTTATATCAATCCATACTGGTAAAGTTTATAGTTTCTCTAGCAAAAACAAATAAACAAGCAACATCCCAAACAATAAACAGAATCCACTTTAGACAAGCAGAACACCCATGCTGAAAAAGCTGCAAGCCCTTTTCCAGAGGTCATTAGGAAAAACTCATCCAGTCCTACCTACTGTACTCGTAACAAACTTGACTATAATCTTTTTCTATGTGGAATTAAAATAAAAAGTACATATGACCATTAAAAAACAAAACAAAAAACTATTGTTTCTTTCAATGTTTTCAATTAGCTCTCCAGCTGGATTACAGGTAGACAGAGATATGAATGTGATGGAGATGTTTCAATGAGCGGCACACGCTGCCCTGGGACTGCAACGCTGCTCACGGGAACCTTGCTGGTGYGGCCGCCACAGGCTCCCCACGCCACGGTGCCAAACGCTGCTGTGCATGAAAGCCTAACTCTAAATTCAGGAGAAGTTTTAATAAGAGGAAAGAGATCCTGGCTTCTGATGTTCCTTAATAAACTRCTTTGGGAGTGGAGAGAGGTGGAAGTTAAAACCAAGACTTTGCAAATTCTCTTCCTTGGAACAACTAAGGGTTTCCGAGAACTGCTTGAGCAGGAAGCACTGTTGCAGCTACCTGAGAATACACATACTTACAGATCAAAGAGTACTTGTATTTAGAAGTCTCAGAAGAATATGATAACAAAGTCCTGCAAGCATCTTAAGGCATTTCCTGACTTTCTGGTTTAAGATTTTCTGGTGAACAACACTAACCTAGAAGAGAGGCACAACTCCTTGAGTTTTTACCAAGAGCAATAGCAAAACTTACATCTACTTGCTGTAAGACATGTGCAACCTTAATTCCATTTTAAAAAAGAGCAGGCTTTTACACTCACCTAAGCAGTAACAATGCTGTCAAAAAGGGGTAATATAAAGAAAAGAACATCCAAAACCAACAAAGAATGGAGTCTATTTATTTTATTTCATCTCACATTTGAGCTGTTAAAGCAAAGCATTCTATACATATTATTTAGCTATTTACTGYCATTCTACACCCATTATAGACTAATTGCAGAAAGACAAATTCAAGGACAAACTTGCCAAAATAAACTTAATGACAATGCTTCTTGGACTCCAACAAATACCTACTTAAAAATAAGATGCTGTCAGCAACTGATCATGTTCTTCTTTTAAAAACAGTTAATGGCTCAATTCACAGACTGTTGAGATACAACGAGACATGTAGCAAAATGCAATGCTGATAATACTTGTTTTATTTTCACTAAGCCTCTGCGTGGGCCGAATATTATGGTAACAGTTGAGCTACTGATTAACCAAACACCTAAATGGAAAGAATCCTGTGAATGATGGGAACTTCTAGATGCAAGATGGTCTTATATAGGGGAAAAAAATCCTTATTGTCACAGCTAGTAGGAGTTATTACCTGAAAATACTTGTGTGGGCATTTTAAATTCATGTGAGGCAGTTTTACAGCAGATGGTCATAGTATGATTGCAAGTTAGCTAACSCAAAAACCTAATGAACATATCTACRTATTTTGACCTGTTTCAAAGCCAACTAATGTTGCAGTGACTTTTGAAAGAAAAAGCACAATTCATTTTTGTGTTGTTTCTTGCCACTAGCTCTAGCTGTGCAAAATTACACTACTGGAATATCTTTGAAACACTGCTGTGAGATGTGGAAAAACAGAAACGGCAATGGCATCATAAAGCCAGAATGGAAACTTTGCTAGAACATAAAAACATATTAAAACTACATTAAAATATTTTAATCTCTCTTTTTTTTTTCCCCCTACAACTTCCAACAGATGAAGCTGACTGTCAGCTGCGGCATCTGCAGGAATATCTGCTGGAAAACAGGCAGAGTGTTTTTATCTCTACAGTGAAATCGATCTGACTAGACTTAATGTCTAACAATTTCTCCCTAACAGGCTTCTAAAATGAAAAGTTATAATATTCTAGCTCTGTTTTTTGATAAGACTTTTTTTCCATTAAGGTTGTTTATTGGGTTGATTTCATCACAATATATGTATGAATGGATGAACAAAGAGCTGACTGGCTTAAAGAACTGTTTTCTTTCAAAATGTTTCCATTATGCCCTCCTTATTGTTTCAAAACAGGAAATATTTTCAAGTAGTTTTCCAGTTGCAGACTGATATTTTGAAGGACTAATGCTATGGTAAATTGCATGTTAATACTTCAGTGTTATATAGGCCATATTTAGAATTTCTGAGCAATAATGTATAGGCGCTGTAAACAAAACACAAGAATGGAATTTTAATACAGAATAAATATTTCTTTGTAATTTTGCAAATTCTGCTAGAGCAACTAGAASATAAAGATTTGTTTCTAGCCTTAAATCATATCTTGTAAAGTATTTTTAATGAATTTTTGACAGTGGTGTGGAATAAAAATAGGTCTTTGGAATTCAACCTTAGCACTTTTCATTGAAAGAACAAGAGCATCCCATATCAATCCACGTTACTTKGCTATTACAAATAACAACTGCTGAAGTGGATTCAGCTGCTAAGTGTAGAATTCCACATTCTTGACTCACTGCAATTATGTGATGCTGAAATTATTTGGATATGCAATGTATTTAACTCAGATTATTTGTGCAAGAGAAATCCGAAGTGGCTAATCCACATTTCGCTGTGCCTCAAACCCTTCCACAAAAGTAAATCTTTSTTGATTACAAATAGCAAGTCTGCTCACAATTTATTATCATTTCAAATAGTAAAACCACACATCATAACATGTACTTGAAAAGTAATAATTGGTTCTCCAGAAACGCAGAAAATATGTGCATTCACTTATAATTAAAAATAACATTAGGCACTAACCTGTTACTCTACAGTATACAAACGGTGAAAGAATGCTCCCAAAATGATACTGCTCACAGTGGAAAGCATAGACATTTCCTTTAAAATCAATACTATAATGCTGCTACTTTTTGTTTTCCTAGCAGTAAATGCTCTTGGAAAAAAAAAAAAGAGACAGAAAAAGAAGTTATTAAAACATGTTTTAAAATTCATCATTATATTTTACAGCCCCATATAGGAAGCTGTGCTTTTCTTAACCTAACATTATCTTTGCAAGCATCTCTGTGCATGCAGTTTAGAAGTATAGTGGGGGAGAGATCCTCCTCTAGAAAAAGGACTAAGGAAAAGAAATCCTATTCCCTTGTAATCAGCGTAAATATTGTCAACTATCACAGCAGGGACAGGATTTTCTCCTTAGTCTTCAACAGACAACAGTTTTCTTCAGTCCTATCATTCAATTTTAAAGTGGAATTTGTTTTATACTGCGGACAAATAGTACCCTAGCAGCTTGATTGGTTGGTGCTTAATGAAATTACTTGTGCTGACATTAGACACATTAGATACTGATTAAAACACTTAATGATTCTTCTTGATTTTAAATTGCTCGTTTAGATTTGTGAGATGCCACTGAAATATCCTTTTCCTTCCCTCCCTCCACTCTAGCCATGCTCCTCCTTGTGCTTTTTCTGTTTCATCATGATCCTTAGAGACTGTGGCTCACTGACACCATCATGATCACAAACCAAATGATACCACAATGTTGAATACTGCACTGTTCGCAAGACACCAACACCCAGTTAACAAACACTGCAAGACACAGTCGTCTCTGAAATACAAACGGTCACTTCAGAGTTGAAGCTMCTCTTAACTATTGACACGTGGAGGATCATTAATAGAAAGAGAATTCCAAACTCAGAATAAACTTTACATTTTTAAAATATCTGCTAAAAAAAGATAATCCCRTAAATGTAAAAACAAGTATAAAAGATTTACTTCAGAGCTTGAACTCGGAAGACGGGGACAGAYTGCAAGAAAATGGTATCAGAATGGCTTTCCTCAATGACAAAGCCATTTTTTCATGCTATTCCTATATAAAATATCACCTTTCAGTGGGAAATGTATATCTTATAGGCAATATGACAATCATTACACTTATACTCAAATACTGTTAATCTCTAGAAATACTAAGTTTGGAAACTTTGTCAGAAAAGGAGAAAAACACAGTAGTTTATGTATAGAGTTCCACTTTCCTTGATATCAAATCTTATCAAGACTCTTGAGATGAAATTATACTTACCAAAAAAAAAAGTTTGCCTGAATACTAAAATCTGCTGCATCAGAAGCTTTCATGAAAATAATGAGTGAATATTCTGAATTTTACACTTAATACAAATCTTAAGATCACAGAAAATAAAAAAGTACAAGTGTTTGTATATTTTAGCACCATTACAAAGTAGGATTCCTATGCCAGTTTTGTCACTGTGGCTGTACCTTGCAGCTGGTGTAGTTAATGGGAAGCACACAGACTACAGTGATCTTGGAGAGAMGAATAATTGGATTTTCTGATCACAAGGAATATTAGAAAGTTTGCATTTTCCCCCCYTTTTTTGGTCTTTTAAAATCAATTTTGATCTTGATTTTTATTCGGCAGCCAGAGCGCACTGCTGTCAGCTAAATCCAAGTCCGAGTCCTTTTGGTCTCTGGATTGCTCTTATCGGTTCTGCTATCCCTTTGCCGTCTGGTCCAAGGCCCGTGCCAGGAGTCCAGCCCATACTTTGAAGCATTCTGTTTCCAATGTTGTTTTCTGGGATTGGTTGGGTGTTTTCRCCTACAAACCCTGAGATTAAAGAAACACACAGCATTAATCAGCACTGCCTGCCATGTGGAGAAGAGCAGGATAATCTCCCTTAAAGCTTTAAACCTTCTTATTCCCCTAATTCATCTAATAGGTTGCTAGAACAGGCTGTCTTTGCACATGTTGACCCTTCTGACTGCATACGATTCTAAACAGTACAGTCTAAGGCTTCCTTTATTTTACGCTTTCAAAGACAAGCTTAGTTTTAAAGCATTACAAATTTTGCTGAAGATCCTTCATATTCCAGTAGAACATTTWCCGTCAGTCTCAAGGACTTCACAGATCATCTGCACAAGTCAGAGCCAAGATTACCTGAATTTATTGCTCTCTACAGTTCCAAAGCTGAGGCACATCACAATATCATGATCATTTTCTATTCTTAGCAATATTTATCAATACTCAAGCAGATTGCTTTCAATAAAACACAACAAATTACTTTTGATTAAGCACTCAGAGCTGCTACAGAAGCAACTGATCTAGTATTTTGAAATCCAGCTATATCCTTACTTGCTTCGGGGTTTTATGAAAAGTTATCAGAGAGATTTAATACATRTGAGCAGACTTCTTAGTATGTTCAATGTCTTTTAATGCTTTCCTTCCATATCAAAAAGTATATCTCCAGAGAAAATGCTTCCTGTTTTCTGCCACCTTCTAAGCACTGCAAGTGTTAATATAAAGGGTTTATTTTCTCATGAACACAGCATAAAGAAACGTGAATAATAAATCAAAAACTTGTTTTCTCTCAACCTTAAACTAAGCTTTTGGAGATGATCCCGGAAAAATCTTTCCCATATGTAGCTCTCTTGCATAAGGGATACAAATGATACTTGATTCAAGAACTACCAGGGAAATTTAGCAAGTTACACCACACAAAAAAATTGAAAAGGGCTGATGTTTTGCAGTAACTTGACAATTGTAGGCATTTTTTTTTCAATTTTGTTCAAAACACCCTCAGCAGAACAGAAACACATTTGCCAAGCTCCAAACATTAGTTGCTTGACTTTCTGCCTATTTACTCCAGCAAGGTGTTTTTTTGAAAAATTCTGCAGCAGGAGACTGTGGTTTTGTGGTTTTGGAGACTCTACTATCTTCAATCAATAACTTATGATTGACAAGCAGCTGGTTCATCATTATATTATCTTACTAAACAGGATCACAGCAAAAGTTGACCAAGCACTTTAAAAAAGCCTCATGTAACACACACAAGACCCGCAATGGAAACTGCATATRCAGACATAAGATTGAGATGAGGTGCACATTAAAAACCTTATGATGTCTGTGGTGATAAATTTACATTACTCACACAATATTCACTACTATATATGTTTATATTCAGTCAAGCAGTGACTACATAAAAGCTAGATGGCTTCCTAATATCTCCATTCCTAAATAAWAAAAAAAAAATGCATTGATGGATTCAGTGGTTTCAAACCATTGAATATTGGTTTGAAGCTGTGCTTAATGCTAGACTTAAAAGTAAAAGCTCGTAAGTCAGTGACTTCAGTCCCTAAGACTGTTCCTCTGGAGCTAACTGACACATAATTCAATGATGAAAACTTCCTTCCTTTACAGTACCACACAGGCAGAGACAGTTTTTATATAGACAAGTCCTTTCTAATAATTAGTGTAGAAAACAGAGGCTTCGGGACCTTCATAATTATATCTTCAAATTAAAAAATAGAAGGAAAAAAGTCTAGAGTCAACAAAAGTAAATGTACAATTCACAGCTGGAAGAGGGTTTTGATCCACTTTTCACACGAACTTAGGGTAAAAATTGGCATGTGGTTTCGGCRTCTGTGGAGGAAGAGGACTTAGGCTGGGAGCTTAGAAGGCAAGAACAGATCCAACAAGCACGAAAGAACACTGCTAAGAGTATATCATGGCCTCAAAGAATATATCTATGAGTGTACTATATCAATACTATACATACCATATCTACACTATACATACATACCATATTAATACCATACATAGTATATCAGCACATAGTATATCAATATATCTAAGAGTGTATATATATATATATCATGACCTCTAAGAACTGGAAATACTAGTCTATTCATAATTCTGCCTAGATAATGCTGCTGGAATAGTATGCAAGGCCTTGCTTGCGACCAATTAAACAGCTTTGTCAGTTTGCTTGGGAAAAAAAAATGAAGACTTTTTCATGTAAAATATGTACCCTTCTATATGAATTTCAATTTTCAAAATAGAGCAACCTCACAGAAAAGATATGTCAAATAAAAGATATGTCAAAGAACAACCTGTACTCTGACATGTATTTAATATTTAATAAACTGATGTTTCTATTTTTGATTTTTCTTGAAGGAGCTGAACATACTTTTCTCTGACAGGATAATTGGAATGCTTTTTGTTTTTAAAGATATTTAAGTAATTATAAAATATATAGCTTTATTACTTCTCCCTCCAATGTACATGTTTTTCTATCTCCTATAAGGACAGAAATACCTCCCCTGCAACCTTCTGTTTTATATTTATGCTCAGTCAAGCCCAAAAAAAAAGGGGAGGGGGGAGGAAAATCTACCATGAACTTGGCTTTGGAACACACTTTTGGGCTTACATTCAAACAATATCCAGACATTTTAGAAACCTTGTAGAACAGCAGGAAAAATGCAAAACCAAAAAGCCCTGCGACTCCTCCATATTATGCACTTTGCACTTTGACTAACCACTCTCTCTTGCAAATGACACAAATGGATAGCTTTTAAAAAAAATTAAAGAGATTTAATTTATCCAGGCTATTCTTTTGCAGTATAGTAAATTTTAAATAAATCTACATAAATACATATCTACATCTGTCAAAGTATTTCAAATGATTGATGAAAATTGCAGGAATGTTAATTTGAAAAGCAACATATTTTACTTGAATCAGAAGAACATGGATTTATAATTGCCCATTTCTTCCATTCCATGACCAATCTGCCATCAGAAAAAAAAAAAAAACAGAGTTTGCTTTTCACACACTTACAAGGACTGTGCTAGGCTTTCTTACTCCCCCAGTTCCTAGTTCCTGTGCTTTGGGCTTTTATTTTCTAATTAAAAGCGGTAATTGTCCTTGTAATAGTCATCTTCAAGTTCAGTGTTTAATTCATGCCAACGGCACTTCTTAGACCAGCCAGTAGGTCCTTTTAGAGAGAACAGTCCAAGTCTTGTGAAGGGCTGTGCTCCCTCTGGGATGTGTTCAGTCCTGACCCACCCAGGAGCAAGAACAAAATCAACCCATTGTGCTATCCCACAAAAAAAGAGCTATGCATTATCACACACACACACACACAAAAAAAAAAAAAAAAAAAAAAAAGTGATACATCTTTTCTAAGCTTGTTAGAGGTTTTTTTTTTCTTTCTACAGATGGAAAATGTGTTAGCAAGCATAGCTTTTTTCTGGATGAGTTCAGACTGCTACCAGATGAGCAGTCTGCCTGTAAGGGCAGTCCGCCTTACTCAGGTGAGGTGCAAAGACCGAAGGAACTGCCACAGCGCTGCACAATTCCCCCACTCCTCTTCAAGGCTGAAGTGCTCAGGTACTCCACCTACATGGAGTATGGACCCTATGACTGCGAAGAGGGGAAGTGGGAAGGGAAAAAAATCTGAACAAAAAACCCTCCATCAATTTTTTTTCTGTTTTKGTATACTATTTATCATGGCATTAGAGGCAGGTTTCAATGAAAAATAAAGACATGCAATTTTTTTCTTAACAGCTGTCGAAACAGGTATGTCCTGGTTAAACAGTACTCTAGCATTCAGTGCCATACCCTTGATTTTACAGTGATTGCCATGAGTTAATTTAATTCCATCTGTAAGCTAAAATCAGATCAGAGGTCTAATGCTGCTGCAGGCTCCACATCTGTTTAATCATTTTTGGATACAACAGCTTGCAAAAGTTCAGGTTTTAAATTTGCTTCATATTTAAGCAACAATGTTACGCTAGTGTACAACACTCTCAGTGGGAAACAAATGAGCTTATGTACAGTTTTGATCGAAAGATCTGTTTCACTCTACTTGCAAAATGCTTCTTCCAGAGAAYGCAGAAGCTCACCAAGTAAGCTATATATTTATTTTAGACTAATAATGGAACTGTGACCCTATTAACCAATATTGTGACTGTATTTACTTGTATAGTCCTATTTTTTGACTAGACTGACATCAAGCATGCTGGTTTATATCAGGGCAAATAAAAGCAGAATATCACTAGGCTCAATCTCTTAAATAATCACTTAAGAAAATGCTGCAGATTTTGTTGTTTCAGACATAGGAGACAAATGGAGTCATAYGTAAATAACTTCGTCTCTGGCCACTAAACTATTTTTGATGTTAAGAAATTGTTTTTTAAACAGTGGTGAAAAAATGACATCGTACAGATAGACAGTCTTGGTCTTTCATCTTTCTTTTATATGATTAAGATTTGTGGGTTGAGCACCAATACCTTTGCAGAGCACAGCACTACTATTATTTCCTCTTCTATCACTCCTAGCAGCCTTAAATCCTTTAAATCCTTTCCTAGAAGGATCTCTTTTTGCTTGGGTAATTTTTGCAATACATGGCCTGCTAACCCTTACCCCCTACCTTGGATCTCACTTATGTCTATCACAGCAGAGCCAGTCCTTCTACCTCAAATCTTCCAAGGAGCATTGTGGATGGTAATTCACTTGCGTAATTGGCTCAAGAGATGAAAATCTTGTATCTGCCTCTCTTAGCCACTAATCTATCCAGCTGACTGCAAGCCTAATTGGCAGCTTGTTTAGTAATTTGGCTCCTAAAGTGTTGTATTGATGTTGGATAAACAGCCAATGGAAGGAGAAGCGATACATGCTGCTTCACTTTAAAAGCTGGTGCACTTCCCCCTTATTTTCTGAAAGCGTTTAATATTCTCCTATCTATTCTTTTTCTTCTCTGATTCCTCACTAGATAGATCAGTTCAGAACTGCAGAACAGGAGGGACTGATCCTGGTTCCTAATGCAATT